TTTTATTTTTGCGTGCAGTCTTTCTTTGAGTAACGGCACATTAAGCCCAACATACATACCGTATTTCCTCGTGGAAACGCCTAGGCGTTTATTTCTTATAGAGACCTGTTTGCTAGGCGTTTAAATGAAGTAGGCGTTTATACGAGGTGGGCGTTTATAACCCAAAAATAATCCTTACCACCATGTTTCAATAGACACAACGCGTAGTTTAAAACTGACATCAAAACTTCTGAGTTTCTTTAGCCTTCTTAGCTGCAGCTGCCATTGTAGAATGTAAACTACTAAACTACGTATGGTACATGTACCACGTGGATGGGGTAGGTGGGTGTGGTATAGGCTTTAATCAAGAATGGGCGTCTAAACAAGCATGGGCGTTTATTGTCAAAGTTATGTGCTGTCTCTAGGCGTTTATACAGGCATGGGCGTTTATAGGGAGTAGGCGTTTCCACGAGGAAATACGGTACATGGGGCAACATGTTGAATGCAACATTGAAGCAACATGTTGTATTCAACACGTTGCCTCGTGTATGATAGCAAATTTGTTGCATGTATCATTCAAACAACATGTTGCTTCAATGTTGAAAAATTTCAACTTCAAGCAACATGTTGCTTCAAACATCAAAGGTAACTAGGCAACACATAAGGAATGCAATAACATAGATATTAGAGTACACAGGAATTGGAAACGGGCCGTAGCAACAGGAAAATGCTAGTTGATAGTACCGTAAATAATTTCTCTAATTACTCGTATGTAAAATTTAAATGGCTGAAAGTTGAAAAAGGTAAGCAAACTTCTCAGGTGGTTTTTTGTTGCATAAAGTCTTATTTTGTACAGGTAACCCTTCAATAATGTTGAGACATTCTTCCTGTTTGCTCAAGCTGTCTGCTGTAGCAATGTATCTGTTTGCAGTTTAAATTCAGTGTTTTATGAATTAGCAATCGTTATTGATCACATTTACTATATTTAATTCTATATTTTGTTTTGTACAACCTATTGAATAGAAATGGTGTTGGCAACCTCCGGTGTGTTCTAAGCAATACGATGGTGTGATAGTTAATGTCACAGACCCTTTGATTTTTATGTTAAGGGTACAAAACAAACCTCTCAAACTAATCAGTAAATCTATTGTTACAGAAAGACACAATCATATTTTCAAACGAAACATAGTGGGCGACCTCCACATTATGAATCTCTGTTGAATGGTTGAATCAATTATTGTCTTCTGTCTAACACTGCTGAGATAAGGGTACAAAACAAAATGTCATTCTAAGCATTCTCATTCCAGAGCAAATATTCAGTGCAAATGAGGATGCTAGCAACATGAAAATTAGTCTGGGGATAGATACCAGTCCCTTCTGCTTCCTTTGATATAAATAATGACGTATAGTGACACCACTGCTGGAATGACAGGTCTTAAAAAGACAGCTCTTGCTCAAAGACAACCTCTGTTGCTAGGCGTTGCTAGATGCAAATGTCAACTAGCATCCATATCCTAGCGATGTATACGGAGATACCCCGTTTCCAATCCCTCTGTATTCTAATATCTATGGCAATAATAACTTCAGCCTTTTATTCATAATAATAATTATTATTATAAAAATAGCAAGCAACATGTTTCCCCTTTTGTTCAACAGTGTGCAACATGTTGAATGCAACATGTTGTTTCAACATGTTGCCCCGTGTATGTTGGGCTTCATAAAGTTCATGTAGAAATTGTATACACATACACGCACATCATGGTACAACAAATACTTGTAGGAAGCCAACATAAAATTAGTTTAAAAATTGTGGCATCACAAAGCAAATTAAACCTCTACAGATTAGTATGTAATAATGAAATCAAAGCTTCGCAAAATATTTATTACATTTCTGAATTGTCATTTAAGGGTGTGGCAAATCTACAAAAATTCTACAAAACATTCATTTTTTAATAAATCTGCAAAAATTAGAAACTCACAAACAAAAATGTACTTTCGCTCTCTTGTTCCTCGTCAGGACTCTCTTTCTTTAGATGATATTCCTCTAGGGATCCGCCCATTAATTCCTTTATAGCAGCACGTGTTATATTGTAATTGAGTAGACCAGGGCAGCGAGCTACAAATGGAAAGTCAGTAAATTATGGGTGCACTCCCAGATATCAGATTCCAAGCTCAACAAATACAGGATAGATTTTTGTATACTACAACTCATTATAGCACTTTTGGGTTAGTCTCGCAGGCCAGACCATTCATTCCCCAGCCTACAATCATTTAGTCTTGCGTAGCCTTCATAGAGGGAGGGGCTGGCTATGCGAGACTAAAGGCTGGTTTACAATATTATGCAAGTCCTGACATTACGTTGATGCTGGAATAGAATCTGGTTCTATTCTAGCAGAAGGCATGCGTCAAAAGGTCAAATCGTACACACTTTTGATTAAAAATTGACGGTACATTGGCCTAACGTCATAATGTAAACCAGCCTTTTAAGCCAGATTTACAATATGATGCTAGGCTAACGTACCATCAATTTTTAGTCAAAAGCGTGGGTGATTTGACCTTTTGACGTATGCTTCATGCTGGAGTTGAACCAGATTCAACTCCAGCATTAATGTAACGTCAGGACTAGCGTCATATTGTAAATCCGGCTTTAGTCATTGGCATGGGGTGGACGTCCACCCCAATGATTCTAGGCTGGGGACTATGGTCTGGCTAGCGAGACTACTTTTGGGTCTTGGTGGCGGCGGTTTATTGAGCTCCTTTCCTTCCTCTTTCTCTCTCTCTCACACGCCCTCTCTCACCATGACCATCCAGCAAGTAAATCCATGCATTCCGCTTCTACCTCCGTCTCTCTCTCTCACTCCCCGTCCGTTTGTGGAGGGAGGCTGTACGGGACAGCGTCCTCCAGGAGGCCGGAAACCTGTTGTTGGATAGGAAGTATTCAAGGAATTTCTTTGCGCTTGCTCTCCCCTCTACTGGGAACTCCATTTGGAAAAAATTAATTAATAGTAAACATGAGGGGGCGAGCATGAGCTCTATTTTTGAATGTTATATGCCATCATGATGCCATTGTGCCCCAATTAACCCTTTTTTGTCAATCCCCAATGGAATACCACGCCAACGACGGCCGGATGCTGCCATGCCCTCCTCGTATAAAAAGCATCGTGGCTGTGTGCTGTCAGTCAGTCTTGATGAATTTTTTACAGTTACTTTTAATACTGCCCAGAAGAGTAAGAGCGTTAGTGGAGCAAGTAGCTGCTCCCCCTCGAGCTCCAGTGCAAGAAACTGCGCCGGCTAGAGGAGCAGCAACCTCACCCGCCGTTATTGTTGCTGGTGGTACTCTCTGGCACAAGAGCACGGAGCCACCACCAGATGCTCACTGTCAGTTCTTGGTGCAATCTGAGCAAGTGACCAGCTACTGCTACAGAAAATGTAAAATGGTTAGTGCAAAGTGAACAGTTGTAACATCATGTCTGAAGAGAGAAAAAAAGCATTCTGTTTACTATTGAACTGGGCTGGGCCGAGACTACTATTGAACTTGTAGCTATTCATGCTAGTCTATTATTTTCATTTAGGTTGCATTTCAGCACAGCAAAGTATCCAAAAACTGTGTTGTCTAGCTGCTGGATCATTGGAAAGGCCACCAACTCTCACATTACTTTACTGCACAAATTGAATACTGTGGCATGCACATGGCAACACACAATGTGACAATTAATCACTATAATTATTATACTATATATGCATGGCACACAAGTAATTTTCTAGTTCTTTAATTTTGTATCAAATGTATTATGTATTGTGTCTATTTTTGTTTCCAATAATGTTGATCATTTCTCCAAAGAGACTCCAGTTCAGTATCATAGTTAGGATATCTTGCTAAAAATGAGGAAATGATTCCCTCAAATGAACTATCAAACTCATTAAGAACAACAGAACCATCTAATGAAAGGAATATATAAATAGTGAAAGTTTCATTCTTATCCCACATTCCTATAAGAAGTTATTATAGTTTTTCTTGGGTCAAACTCAGTTGGGATATATATGTAGTATAGAAATTAGTGAAGCAGATTACTATAAATTGTGAGAAGACATCAAACTCTATACAATATTCATGGCATAGAATAAACCAACCCATTGGTCAGGCTGGTTAATTATGATAGACCTTATTTTTAAAAGGTAAGACTGAGGACATCCCTCATCCACCCATCCCCTGCTTACCAGTATCAATTGAAGTGTGTGGCTGTACAAATAACCTTCTAGGCATCTTCCTAGCCATTACAATATCTCTTAACATCAAATGATCATCAGTAACAGTTGAATATTTATTATACAATAACTGTCCTGAGCTAACGTCTGCTGT